AGGGAAGCGGTACTATGGAGATGAAGTGACAAATGAAGCAGAAGCAAAAGAGTTTAGGGACTTAATAGCAGAGGCATCTAGGAATGGTGGAGCAGCAAACCCAGCAGATTTCTTTCCGATGTTGAACTGGATCGGTCAATGGTATGAAAAGAAGGATAAGAAGCATGGAAAGAGAATGGACGTGCTCTTTCAAAAGTTGATTGATGAGCACCGAAGTAATAGGCAGGAAAATCCTAGTATGATTGCTCACCTTCTTTCCTTGCAAGAATCCGAGCCTCATTACTACACTGACGACATTTTGAAAGGGCTCATATTGGTTAGTTGAACTTGAATCTTTTTCTTTTGTCCTTTTCGTTTTCGTTGTTTGTACGGCTGAAAGTCCATTGGGCTTGTACACAAACCCATCATTCCTTTCCGACTATTCAAACATGAAACTTCTTACTCTTAGTTCTTATTGTTCTATTGTATTGGCATGCATGTTTAACAAACAAACTTTATTGTGCAGGTGATGATACTTGCAGGAACAGACACATCTGCGGTCACATTAGAGTGGGCAATGTGCAATTTGCTTAACCACCCAGAAGTGTTGAAGAAAGCTAGAGCTGAAATAGACAGTCAAATTGGCCAAGAAAACTTGATTGATGAGCCAGATGTTTCCAAACTGAATTACCTTCAAAGCGTCATATCCGAGACTCTTCGATTATACCCTGCAGCTCCTCTCCTGGTTCCACACATGGCATCCAGTGATTGCACAATAGGTGGATACGACGTACCACGTGACACGATCGTTCTGGTCAACGCATGGGCTATTCATAGGGATCCAAAACTATGGGATGATCCAACAAGTTTCAAGCCGGAGAGATTCGAAAACGAGAAAGGAGAATCACACAAGCTCATGTCATTTGGACTGGGAAGGAGGGCATGTCCAGGAGCAAGCCTAGCTCAGCATTTGGTGGGATTAACTCTGGGATCATTGATTCAATGCTTTGAGTGGGAAAGGGTTGATGAGAAGGAAATTGACATGACTGAAGGAACGGGAAGCACCATGCCGAAAGCTCAGCCATTGGAGGCTATGTGTAAAGCTCGCC